TTAGGAGCAATATGCTTACCCGCAAGTTTTCTCGATGCCAAATGACGTAAAAGTCACTCTTTTCAAAGCATTCTGCAAATCTTTTTACTCGAGAGGCCTGTGGATATCATACAGGCGACGGGTTTACGGCGTCTTTCACATTTAAAATAATAACACTTTTAGGATGCCATTGGGACTGCCATGGCCATTGCGCTGTAGTGCTTCAAAATGTTCGCAGATGTTAGGACTAATTGATTTCATGCTGTTATGCGAAAGAAATCAGCTTCAATGTTACAGCGTCTGCGAGACAATAACAACAGCATCCTAAAACTGATCGCGGCGAGAACAGGTTGCTACTTTCAGCGACACTAGGTAGAGCTGGAAATAGGTTTCAAGTGATAATTAATTATATATTATGTAGGCATAAATGCTAACATAGATTAAGTAAAATTTTTATTAATATACTTACACTTAATATGGACTAATTACTGTCTGAAATAAAGTATTTATTATTTAGAAATTTTAACTCGGCAGTATTTTAAAATGACACACCATGAACCCCTTTAGCCAGTAGTGATGCAGCCCGTCAAGCCCCGGACTTTTCCAGTTCGGCGCCCTACGGACCGCCTCAGCTACGTCATCCGGCGTTATGATGACGGGGTCCATGGCCGTTATACCCGCACACTGACTCACCACAACTTCCGTCCAAGGGCCCTCACTGTGGTTTACGGGTTCTGACTACAGGCTGCGCCAGAATGCGACCGTGTCGGCCTGATTCGGTGCTGGGCCCGTTCCACTTACCACTGGTCGCTCCAATGATTTATAAAGCCTCTTCTGATCACTCTAGAAGAGACGATTCTGGTTGAACCGTGTCGACCTCTCGGTATATCGCCGAATCCGCTTTCCCCAAGCAGCGATTCTCTGCTTCAGGTCGTCTATGCGCTCCGTCAGTTTTTGCATTATATCCGGCTGGGACAAACTAACATTTGTCCCAGCAAACGCCATCCTGACGGTGCGCACAATCCTTGGCCTGGTATTGCCTGACCTGAAGCAGTCTGCCGATGAGGGCCCTAGCCCTTGCGATACGTTCTTCAATTCTTATTCTCCAGGCTGGGACAGCACTACTTTGTCCAGTGGCGCGTCCAGCCGTGGAGAGTTTGGCGCCTATAATACGGCAGACTGCCAGTGCGGCGCCAAAAATAATTGAGTCCGTCTCGCAAAGTTCCCGGCTGGCTTCCAAATAGGTCACCAGCATTGGGTTCAGGCCCTGATTCCGCTTGCTTAGGGCTATGCGGGGAAGTTGCGGTCGATTTTCGACTCGCGTACTGCGCGTTTTCACAATTGCCTCTTCCAATGTACTCCTCATTTGCTCTAGTTCCAGTTCCTGGGCGATTGTTCCATCATCGTTTGAATCAACCACAACTAGGGTATTCACGGCGGCACCCACGTTTTCCGTTTGCTCTGTAAGTTGTGGCGCCGCTTCCTCAGCCGTAGCATTTTCACCTGATGAAGGAACAGCCTCACGTCGTAGCCGTTCGAGTTCGGTAACATCAAATATATTTGAGCGCAAGAAATACCGAACTAGGTCTGCCAGGTTTTGCTCGGTGACGGTTATAGATGGCTCCAGCTCAGCAAAAAGACGATGCATCCTAGCCCGATATGCCAAACCTCCAACTTCTCCCCCCTTTCGCCCTAAAATACGCCCAGTGCATTGCGTTGGTATTTATTTTGATTGTCCCTCGTATGCGGCGTACTCCACCAGTGGCGGGTGCCGATTTTTGGGCCCGCGAAGACCCTGCCGACACCAAGCGAGATGGTGGGGATGATGGATGCGAGGGGCTGATGGGTGGTCGCGCAGCACCTCTCGCTCGGCTGGCGGTTCGCATGCTGTCGCGTCTAACGCCAGCTCCAGACGCACCCTGGCGACCTCCAGGCAGCGGCCCTTTGCGCGTTCTTCCGTATTCCATCATCCATATATCCGTTTACATATTATTTATTATACTATTACATATTATTATTTATTACAAAAATCCTATTAAACGTATGTATCTATGTATATGTATGTATGTGTACGTTTATATATATATTTTTTTTTTATATATATATATATATAATTTTATAATATATACTGTTATGTAATTATTACACTTACTAATGTTCCCGTCACGTCTCACGTGGCGTTCAGCAACTTACGCTCAGCACAACTATACAATACGTATTTTCCATTTTGTTATTAAAATTCATCAGTCGTTATTATCATATGTATCTACTACTCCCTTAATGTCAACACTTACGGCACGGTCTCCGTAGGACCGTATAGGGCCGACTGAAAATCAGCGTCGCTATCTCGCGGCTTATGCTGAGGCGGTCCCTTCCGCCACTTCATCTGTTTCGATTATTAAGTCATGAATTGTTGTTATATCCTCTATTTTTTTTTGTTTATTAAATTTCTTGTGTTTTTATTCATTTTATTTTATTCTTGTTCGTCTTAATTTTGTTTATTAATTTGTGATTGTAATCTGAAGTGTCGGAATAAATGTCTTTATGTCTTTATATAAGTGGGCGCCATTTAACGGGAGACGCCCAGACCCGGCGCCGTTTCATGGTGGGGCCACGTGCACAAGCGAGCCTTTGCACCTTTATTTTTTGCCGAGACACGGCACTTACACCTCTTGGCAAGGTGTGTGTCTGTGTGTCCATTATTATTATTATTAAATTATTTAAAAGAAAAGTCCCGCTGGATTTCTTGCTGGTTTCTGGTTATCCAGGTAAACATACTCTAGGATAAAACTATTTCAATCGCTATATTTAAATTATTTAGCCGTAGATTTAATTTGTTTATATAAATATTCTATTAAAATTTACTGTCAGGTGTCACTGTTCACTTTTCATAAATATGTCTACTTAAAATCTTCATGAATTCCTGTAACAAACATTATTAGTTACCAATAGAAACAGAAACAGAAACAGAAACTTTTTTATTCAATGTAGATTATAACAATACTTATTGAAAGTCACTTTTTTCATTTACCACTGGTTCGCAAAAAAAAACCTGTGTCCTGGGAAGAACCAGCAAGAAACCCAGCGGGACTATTTTTTTTTCCAATAATAGCTTACAATTATGTTTACAATAAACGACACAAGACAAATTAGCAATAGCTTGGTAGCGATCACCCTTCCCAGGGGTTATTATCATCCATAAATTCCTTAATATTATAATAACCTTTTTTATACAAACTTAATTTAATAACATTTTTGATCATCGTGTATGACAAATTTTGTATATTTTCTGGGATTTTGTTGTAAAAGCGTATACATCGCCCCAAGAACGAATTACTGACTCGGTGGAGTCGAGTAACTGGTACTACTAGCTTGTGTCTGTTCCTAGTATTTACAGAATGAATATCACTTATTTTCGCAAAACTACTTTTATTTTTGTGTACGTACATTACATTTTCATAAATGTATTGAGAGGCCAGAGTTAATATATTAATTTCCTTAAATTTTTGTCTCAGTTACTCTTTTGGTTTTAAATTATATATTGCTCTAATGGCCCTCTTCTGCAAAATAAATATAATTTAAGTGTCAGTCGCGTGTCCCCATAGCAAAACACCATACGACATAATGCTATGGAAATAACTAAAGTAAACTATTCTACCTGTTTCAACACTGGTAAGAGTTCTAGTCTTTTTTACAGCATATGCTGCAGAACTAAGTCCGCTAGCTAGTTTTGATATATGGGGGAGCCATTGAAGCTTTGCGTCTAGTGTGATTCCAAGAAAAATGGTGGTATCAACAAGACTCAGTTCTTCCCCATTTAAAATTACATTCGTATTAACATGTTTGACATAGGGAGTTACGAATTTCACACATTTAGTTTTAGTTCCATTTAAATGCAAATTATTAACATTAAACCAATTGACTAACTTAGCTTTAGCATTATTTACTTGGTACCAATTTGTACAATCGACCCTGAAGAACTCATACTATTAATGACAACTTTTTGCGTTCTGTCCACTGACCTCTATATATACAAGTACGCTGGACTGGCTATACCAGGGGTCGCCAAATGGCGGACCGTGGTCCGCATCCGGACCGCCGACCCATTTTGTGCGGACCCGCGAGAACACAGTAACTTACACTAAAGACTACTTCTGATATAAATAACTTCCTTGGCCCCAAAAAAGATTGACGCGAGCTGTACGTAATTTAATAAAAATGTATCCCCGGCATTATCTTTGTTGACGTCAATTTGAAAACGGCCGGGCGAAGTAACGAGCGAGCGAGAAAGAGTTCGCGGATTGCGGCAAGTGTCGCGAGGGCAGGGTAATTCATCACGTGATCGCTCTGCCAGCCGCCGGGAGGTCAGTGTTTTGTTTTAATTTCGAGCGAAGGACGCCGCGCGGCGCGCTGAAATAAATATAACGTTTGCTTGTTTACTTTACGAGTATAAGTACCTACCTGTTTACAATAGCGAGTTTTGGCTGTTTATAGCGAGTTTTGACTATGGAACCGCAAAAAGAAAAGTTGAAGATGAAAATAGACAGTTTTTGCCGGAATGGACCGATTTATATTATTTTACGCTGCCAAATCGTGCTGGAGCGTTACCAATGTGCTTGATTTGTAACCAAACAGTGGCGTTAATTAAAAGCTCGAATATAAAACGACATTATGATACCAAAAACAAATCATTTGCTGGAAACTTTCCACTTGGTAGTGATCAGCGTAAGTCTAAAATTGCAAGTTTACTATCAAGTTACTCGTCTTCGACCCAGATCATAAGTCGCTCAATGACTGAGCAGGAAAAATGTGGTGAGGCTTCTTTACGTATTTCTTGGACTCTGGCTAAGCATATGAAACCATTTACTGATGCTGACGTAGTTAAAGAATGCTTTCTTGAGGCGGGTAATGCTTTATTTGAGAACAAAAAGAGAGACGAAGGTTATCTGCTTCTACTAGCACTAGAAATACACACGTTTTGGCAGAAGAAAATCATTTTGATTTGAAACGGCAGTTAAATAATGCAAACTAATGCCTTGGCTATGGATGAATCATGCGACGTCACTGATACGGCACAGTTAATTATTTTTGTACGCTACCTGGACAAAACGGGAGAAACTTTTGTTGAGGAGATATTGGCTCTTTTGTCGCTCTTAGGAAGAACCCGAGGAGAAGACATGATCAAACCAGTGATGGATTATTTTGAAAAAGATGAGTTAGACTTGAAGAAGCTCTTATCGGTAACTACTGACGGTACGCCAGCTATGGTTGGGAGTAAAAAAAGGACTAGTTCACCTGTTGAGAAGCAATGAGAGATGTAACGAAAATTTGATTTCCTACCATTGCATTATTCATCAAACTGTGCTTTACTGCAAACTCAATCATAATTTTGAGCGTATTATGCAAGAAGTGATGAAAATAGTAAATTTTCTTCGTGCTAAATCATCATTGCAACACCGTGAATTGAAATCATTTCTTGAAGAAGTTGAGGCACAATATGACGATCTACTGTTGCATAATAATGTGAGATGGTTAAGTAAAGGTTGCGTTTTAGAAAGATTCTTCAGCATTTTAGAACACTTGAAGACATATCTTTTTAACAGTGATCAGACTTCAGCAAACGCTTACTTAAGTTTTCTAAACGAAAAAGAAAATGTTGCTGTCATTGCTTTCTTAACTGATACTTTTAAACATATCAATGACCTGAACCTTAAACTTTAAGGCAAGGGAAAGCTGATATGCGAGCTCATGTCAGACGTCAAAAGTTTTTCTCGAAAACTTGATCTCTTTATTAATGATCTTGGAAATGAATGCCTACACTTCCCCAATTTAAATAAAATAATCAGCAGTGACAACGAGACTGACGTCGGCCGATTCAAGACGTTCATTACGGATCTTAAATCGGAATTTCAAAAAAGGTTTGCAGATTTTAAGAAAATTGAGAATGTTGTAGAAATCCTCAGCAGCATTTACTTTCTGCATCCTGATGGTGAATGGAGCAATGAAGCTGCAATTGTTTTCGGAAGTGATAAAGCTACTCTGCAGATGGAAATGATCGATTTCCAAGAAAACACAGTTTTAAAACACAAACAATCGGAAGTTTCCAGTGAAGAGTTCTGAATAAAATTTGTGTGTGGTAATACATATCCAGAATTACAAAAATTAGCTTTGAAACTTCTTACTTTGTTTGGATCGACATATATTTGTGAAGCAGCATTTTCGAAGATGAAGTTCATTAAGAATAAATTTCGATCTCGACTTACTACTGAACATCTCCAGGATTTAATGTCAATAGCTTGCACCAATTTTACTCCAAACTTCAGACAGATAATTCGCAACAAAAAATGTAATTTTTCGCATTGATACCTATGTAACCAAATACCTTTGTTATTTCCTTAATTACGTTTGTTTAATAAATATTCTTTCTTATAAATAAAATATGCGGACCACGATGGTCATTTCATTTCTTAAAACGGACCCCGAGCGAAACTAATTGGAGACCACTGGGCTATACCATACAAAATGACTGTGCCAATTTGAAGCGCCTCTAAAGGATGTCTTGAAAAATAAAATTGACATAATATGCCAAATTCTGTTGTCTTATTTAATAAGTCTGTATTTTAAACTTTTGAACTAAAAAACGAAAGTATTTTATGTTGTTTGATTGTGTATAATATTAGTTACATAATAAAAATTATTTTTATTAATAATGAGAGTGTGCGTAATCTGTAAAACTCGTTACCAAAAGGGAAGTGGTATAACATTTCACAAGTAAGTGAATTTGCAGCAAATATTAAACAAATTAAAACTATTTGATAACATAAGTACTTAAAATTTTGTTACTAATCTTAATATCATATAAACCAACATGTTTGGCTGTATATTACTGAGTTTTGATAAACAATAAAATTCAATAGGGTTGTCGAGTTCCTTGTCTATAATACTTATCGATGTTCTTTCCTACCCATATCTGTTAACAAACAAAATCGCCAACAACAGATAATTATCAAATGTTTATTAATTAACAGGTTTCCAACTGAACCTAGACTAAAATTATGACTTAAAAGCATAAATATTGTGAATTGGCGTCCGAAACAAAATGATCATATTTGTTGCAAACATTTCACAGACGACTGTTTTATTAGACATGAGAACTGCACCGCTTTGAAAAAGTGCAGTATACCGACAATTTTTTCTGGTAGTACCAGTACCAGTAAATATAAAATTATTAGATTATTATTTCGAATGCTTTTTTTCTTTCCTCATTTTCACCAAACTCAAGGGCCATAGCCAAGTGTCGAAAGGTTGCCTGATGATGTCGAGCCTCGTTGGATGTGTGTTAGTGGGCTGTGGCTAGAGGAGATTCCTTCCCCTGTACCGCTGTAGTCGAGGTGGAGTCGTAAGGGAAGGGAGTGTTGCGTCGATTTAAGTTCTTTATAGAATATTTAGAGACGATACCACTAGACCCGACAGTATGGGTTTTGTTGCTTGAGAGAGAGAGAGAGAGAGAGAGAGAGAGAGAGAGAGAGATAAAGCTTTAGTGTGCGATACTACTTGCGAACACTTTGACAGCATCCCATCTCAGGGGTACCTCGTCTAAAGCAGGGGTGGCATTAGAGGCATCTGAACTAAGTAAATAGCCCAGAGTATCTAGAAGATGAGTACATATTTGTGCAATTTGCTGTAAAGACTATTAGTCCATAGGTGCACGTGCTGTGTAGTTCCTAAAAAAACTGTATCTGCGACTGATAATCGCTGCTGGTAATAAGAAGTTGTTTAGTTTGTTGTTTCCTCGCTTGAAGGCACGAGGACACGTAGCCAGCATTCTTGGGACGATACTACGGAAAGAAGGACTGTATGATATTTCAGTTATTTTTAATTTTTTTTAATATTGTAATTTTAATTTCAAAAATGACGTTGTAAATAACTGATAACTATGTAATTCAAAGTTTATATTTTTTACATTATCTTGCTAGCTCGTACCCGGCGCATTGCTGCCGCAGAAGAAATAATTGTGGAAATATCGTTAGAAATGTGGAGCAGTTATATTGTATAATTAGGAATGATAATACAATCATTGAAATAGAATAATATATAACTATAACTTTCAAATAAATAGTTATAGTACGCACACCATCTAGTGTCAATTAATTGTACCATGCGTATAACCTTCGCACAAGTTTTACCGCAATCTGATGAACGGTATGGCATCGTAGAAAGTACGAACAAACATATTTTTTTATATAGTAGAAAATATTTTACTGTTTATAGACTGACCTGTAGTTGATTAGAATAGGCGTTATTATAGCAGCTGATTTGTTTTTTATAATACTAGAACTAAATGAACTGTTGACAATAAATTATTTTAGAAATTATGTTTTTCTTTTTCTTTTGTGTAGTTAGTTTAATCTCAATAATTTTTTTGTTTAATGGTCTAAGGGCTACAATGGCTATCCGAGTACAGAAGCAGAGTACAAAACTAATCGAACTGTAGAGATGTGTAAGACAGGGTGACGTAATATTTCCGAAATACTTTACTGCTGCATTGGAAGACGTTTTCAAGCTACTGGACTGGAAAGCATACGGTATTAACGTCAATGGCGTGTACGTCACTCACCTTTGATTTGCCGACAATATAGTCTTTATGGCAGAATCGCTGGAAGACCTACGCACTATGTTCAATGACCTCAATAGTGTCTCCCAACTGATAGGCCTTAAGTGAACATGGACAAAACAAAAGCCATGTGTAATGTCCATGTCACACCTATGCTGGTAGTTTTTGGGAGCACTTAGCTGAAGTTGTTGACGAGTATTTTTACATGGGACAAATAGTCCGAATAGGTAAGTTCAATTTCGACCGACAGGTCAATCGACGGATTCAACTCGGCTGGGCAGCGTTCTGGAGATTGCAACACATTTTCTCATCAGGAATACCTCAAAACTAGATTGTACAACCAGTGCGTGTTGCCAGTGATGACCTATGGATCTGAGACGAGGTATTTCACTGCTGGCCATATGAGGAAGCTCGAAGTCGCTCAGCAAGCTATGACGAGGGCTATGCTCAGGGCTTTAAACTTAGGAATGAGGATATCTGCAGCAGAACCAGAGTGACCGACATCGACCAATGCATTAGTAAGCTGAAGTGGCAATTGACGGGCCATATAGCTAGAAGAACCGAATACTGATGGCGAAAAAAGGTTCTCGAGTGGCAGGCCCGTACCGGCAGGTGAAATGTAGGACGTTCTCCCACTAGATGGAGTCAAAACCTGGTAAGACACGCAGGAAGTTGATGGATGCAGTTAGCTCAGGAGCGTGCTTTGTGGCATTGCTTGGGGGAGGCCTATGTTCACCAGTGGACTTGTGAAGGGTTTTAATGATGATGAATGATAATGGCATTATATTAATATGATACACAAATGGAATGGACGTTACGGGTAGAGTCCATCTATCCATAGAGTCCATTCTATTTATTTAGGTATAGGTAGGGTATAGAATTTTTATCGATATAATTTGGTACACTGTCTTATCCCTATTATTAGTTCCGTGGACGTGCACTTCTGCTGTCAGCGCCAAAATAGCGGAAATCAAATCGCTTCATCATGTCACGGTGTATAGCCAGTCCAGCGTACTTGTATATATAGAGGTCAGTGGTTCTGTCACTTAAATATAAAATAATTAATTTAAGAGCATAGATTCTTACACCGTAGTGTTGAAGTTTCCTGATTAATGTTTCATGGTGAATACAATCGAAGGCTTTGGATATGTCATAGAATACACCCAAAGCATCCTGTGAATTCTCCCATGCATCAAATATATATTTAATCAGCTCAACACCAGCATCAGTTGTCGAGCGACACCTTGTGAAACCAAATAGATTTTTATAATAAAAAATTTAACATTTGATCAAGAAAAATTTTTCAAAAATTTTACTAAGTGTTGGCAGTACAGAAATAGGTCTAAAATTAGCGGGGTCTAATGTACTACCAGATTTAAATAGAGGTATTACTTTACTATGCTTCATTAAATCAGGAAACACACCAGATTCAATACTAGTATTAAAAATAATAGATAGTTGAGGTGCGATCGCATCTATTATAGACGCAATAACTTTAACAGAAATCCCCCACAGATCGGCGGTTCTCTTAATATCAATAGACTTAAAATATTTTACAATATATTTTGATGACACTTTATGAAATGTAAAATTCTTTGTACACTGTTTAATTAATGATTCGGACGGAGGAGAAAAAGTGACTTATGCGATGGTATAGTATACTCACTTTGTGATCTGATTTAGTTAATTTATTGTTGAAACTTAACTGGTAGTTTGAATTGCGAGAGTTGACCTTACCAGTTTCACTATTAATTATACTCCATGTCATTTTAATTTTATTAGAAGCAGTCTTTATTTTGTTGCTCAAATACAATGACTTGGCTAAGGAGCACACTCTTTTAAATATTTTGGAATATTTTTTTACATATTCCCTAAATTTGACGATAGGATTATATGACCTATCATTGTAAAGTTCATATAACCTTTTTCTACTCTTATGGACTTCTACTGTCGCCCATTATTAAATGTTTTGCGATTGTTCAAGGAGAATGTTTTAGAAGTAAAAGTATTATTAAATTCATTGCAAATAAGCTTAAATAATGTTCCATACAAAAAATTTGGATTATTTTGGTATGAAAGTAATGGAAGTTTCTTTACTATGTTACTTCTAAACTTCTCCAAGCGATGTGCATTTACTGGAACAAACACCACTTTTTTATCTATGCTTGACATAAGGTAATGAAACTAATTACAGTATAGCTCAATTTTTGAATTATACATTAAATTTGTAAAAATTTATTATAATGACTAAATAAAGCATCTAATTTAATATTGGTGAGGAAGCTTCTAGGAGGTTGATATTAAAGTCTCCACATATTACAACAGATTTATTCTGTTTATTAAGCTTAGCGAAAACTTCCTCCATAATTTTTTCGAAAGTATCATATAAAGAACATGGGGGTCTGTAAACGCTTACAACAATGAGGTGCTCAAACTCAACACATGCCATTTCTACAGTTCGCTTAACAGAGAGGCTCACAATATCTTTACGTTCTTTACATGATAA